TGCTAAAACAATAATACCATTCATGATATCAATGCGTGAGATGGTGTCAATGTCTGAGTGACGCACATGTATTCGAAATGCATTGGTCATCTCAGTTGAAAGGATTTTTATCTTTCTGAGTAATGTTTGTTTTCACCATAGAAATGTATAAAGGAAGGAAGTATTACAGGTCCTACTGTGTAATGGTTAGCACTCTGGACTTTGAATCCAGCGATCCGATTTCAAATCTCGTTAGGACCTTCGTTTATTTTGATATGATATATCGCCGAGATAAACATCGATATATACAAACTTGCGGCGCAGGAGGAATGTGACGTGCCCTCACTCCAATCTGTAATAAATCCTTCTTAAAAATCATCATCTGAGGGCAGTTGCTAAAACAAGAATACCATTCATGATATCAATGCGTGAGAAGGTGTCAATGTCTGAGTGACGCACAGGTATTCGAATTGCATCGGTCATCTCAGTTGAAAGGATTTTTATCTTTCTGAGTAATATTTGTTTTCACCATAGAAATGTATATTATAAGGAAGTATTACAAGTCCTATGGTGTAATGGTCAGCACTCTGGACTTTGAATCCAGCGATCCGAGTTCAAATCTCTTTAGGACCTTCGTTTATTTTGGTATGATATATCGCCGAGATAAATATCGATATATACAAACTTGCGGCGCAGGAGGAATGCGACGTGCCCTCACGCCAATCTGTAATAAATCCTTCCTTAAAATCATCATCTGATGGCAGTTGCTAAAACAATAATACCATTCATGATATTAATGCGTGAGAAGGTGTCAATGTCTGAATGACGCACAGGTATTCGAAATTCATCGGTCATCTCAGTTGAATGGATTTTTATCTTTCTGAGTAATGTTTGTTTTCACCATAGAAATGTATATTGGCAGTAAGTATTACAGGCCCTATGGTGTAATGGTTAGTACTCTGGACATTAAATCCAGCGATCCGACTTCAAATCTCGGTAGGATCTTCGTTTATTTTGGTATGATATATCGCCGAGATAAACATCGATATATACAAACTTGCGGCGCAGGAGGAATGCGACGTGCCCTCACGCCAATCTGTAATAAATCCTTCCTTAAAATCATCATCTGATGGCAGTTCCTAAAACAATAATACCATTCATGATATCAATGCGTGAGAAGGTGTCAATGTCTGAGTGACGCACATGTATTCGAATTGCATCGTTCATCTCAGTTGAAAGGATTTTTATCTTTCTAAGTAATGTTTGTTTTCACCATAGAAATGTATATTGGAAGGAAGTATTACAGTTCCTATGGTGTAATGGTTAGCATTCTGGACTCTGAATCCAGCGATCGGAGTTCAAATCTCGGTAGGACCTTCGTTTATTTTGGTATAATATATCGCCTCGATAAACATCGATATATACAAACTTGCGGCGCAGGAGGAATGCGACGTGCCCTCACGCCAATCTGTAATAAATCCTTCCTTAAAATCATCAGCTGAGGGCAGTTGCTAAAACAATAATACCATTCATGATATCAATGCGTGAGAAGGTGCCAATGTCTGAGTGACGCACATGTATTCGAAATGCATCGGTCATCTCAGTTGAAAGGGTTTTTATCTTTCTGAGTAATGTTTGTTTTCACCATAGAAATGTATAAAGGAAGGAAGTATTACAGGTCCTACGGTGTAATGGTTAGCACTCTGGACGTTGAATCCAGCGATCCGAGTTCAAATCTCGTTAGGACCTTGGTTTATTTTGATATGATATATCGCCGAGATAAACATCGATATATACAAACTTGCGCCGCAGGAGGATGTGACGTGCCCTCACTCCAATCTGTAATAAATCCTTCTAAAAATCATCATCTGAGGGCAGTTGCTAAAACAATAATACCATTCATGATATCAATGCGTGAGATGGTGTCAATGTCTGAGTGACGCACATGTATTCGAAATGCATCGGTCATCTCAGTTGAAAGGTTTTTTATCTTTCTGAGTAATGTTTGTTTTCACCATAGAAATGTATAAAGGAAGGATGTATTACAGGTCCTACTGTGTAATGGTTAGCACTCTGGACTTTGAATCCAGCGATCCGATTTCAAATCTCGTTAGGACCTTCGTTTATTTTGATATGATATATCGCCGAGATAAACATCGATATATACAAACTTGCGGCGCAGGAGGAATGCGACGTGCCCTCACGCCAATCTGTAATAAATCCTTCCTTAAAATCATCATCTGATGGCAGTTGCTAAAAACAATAATACCATTCATGATATTAATGCGTGAGAAGGTGTCAATGTCTGAATGACGCACAGGTATTCGAAATTCATCGGTCATCTCAGTTGAATGGATTTTTATCTTTCTGAGTAATGTTTGTTTTCACCATAGAAATGTATATTGGCAGTAAGTATTACAGGCCCTATGGTGTAATGGTTAGTACTCTGGACATTAAATCCAGCGATCCGACTTCAAATCTCGGTAGGATCTTCGTTTATTTTGGTATGATATATCGCCGAGGTAAACATCGATATATACAAACTTGCGGCGCAGGAGGAATGCGACGTGCCCTCACGCCAATCTGTAATAAATCCTTCCTTAAAATCATCATCTGATGGCAGTTCCTAAAACAGTAATACCATTCATGATATCAATGCGTGAGAAGGTGTCAATGTCTGAATGACGCACAGGTATTCGAATTGCATCGGTCATCTCAGTTGAAAGGATTTTTATCTTTCTGAGTAATGTTTGTTTTCACCATAGAAATGTATATTGGAAGGAAGTATTACAAGTCCTATGGTGTAATGGTCAGCACTCTGGACTTTGAATCCAGCGATCCGAGTTCAAATCTCTGTAGGACCTTCGTTTATTTTGGTATGATATATCGCCGAGATAAATATCGATATATACAAACTTGCGGCGCAGGAGGAATGCGACGTGCCCTCACGCCAATCTGTAATAAATCCTTCCTTAAAATCATCATCTAATGGCAGTTGCTAAAACAATAATACCATTCATGATATTAACGCGTGAGAAGGTGTCAATGTGTGAATGACGCACAGGTATTCGAAATTCATCGGTCATCTCAGTTGAAAGGATTTTTATCTTTCTGAGTAATGTTTGTTTTCACCATAGAAATGTATATTGGCAGGAAGTATTACAGGCCCTATGGTGTAATGGTTAGTACTCTGGACTTTAAATCCAGCGATCCGAGTTCAAATCTCGGTAGGATATTCGTTTATTTTGGTATGATATATCGCCGAGATAAACATCGATATATACAAACTTGCGGCGCAGGAGGAATGCGACGTGCCCTCACGCCAATCTTTAATAAATCCTTCCTTAAAATCATCATCTGATGGCAGTTCCTAAAACAATAATACCATTCATGATATCAATGCGTGAGACGGTGTCAATGTCTGAGTGACGCACAGGTATTCGAATTGCATCGGTCATCTCAGTTGAAAAGATTTTTATCTTTCTGAGTAATGTTTGTTTTCACCATAGAAATGTATAAAGGAAGGAAGTATTACAGGTCCTACTGTGTAATGGTTAGCACTTTGGACTTTGAATCCAGCGATCCGATTTCAAATCTCGTTAGGACCTTCGTTTATTTTGATATGATATATCGCCGAGATAAACATCGATATATACAAACTTGCGGCGCAGGAGGAATGTGACGTGCCCTCACTCCAATCTGTAATAAATCCTTCCTAAAAATCATCATCTAATGGCAGTTGCTAAAACAATAATACCATTCATGATATTAACGCGTGAGAAGGTGTCAATGTGTGAATGACGCACAGGTATTCGAAATTCATCGGTCATCTCAGTTGAAAGGATTTTTATCTTTCTGAGTAATGTTTGTTTTCACCATAGAAATGTATATTGGCAGGAAGTATTACAGGCCCTATGGTGTAATGGTTAGTACTCTGGACTTTAAATCCAGCGATCCGAGTTCAAATCTCGGTAGGATATTCGTTTATTTTGGTATGATATATCGCCGAGATAAACATCGATATATACAAACTTGCGGCGCAGGAGGAATGCGACGTGCCCTCACGCCAATCTGTAATAAATCCTTCCTTAAAATCATCATCTGATGGCAGTTCCTAAAACAATAATACCATTCATGTTATCAATGCGTGAGAAGGTGTCAATGTGTGAATGACGCACAGGTATTCGAAATTCATCGGTCATTTCAGTTGAAAGTATTTTTATCTTTCTGAGTAATGTTTGTTTTCACCATAGAAACGTATATTGGAAAGAAATATTACAGCTCCTATGGTGGAATGGTTAGCACTGAGGAATTTGAATCCAGCGATCCGAGTTCAAATCTCGGTAGGATCTTCGTTTATTTTGGTATGATATATCGCCGAGATAAACATCGATATATACAAACTTGCGGCGCAGGAGGAATGCGACGTGCCCTCACGCCAATCTGTAATAAATCCTTCCTTAAAATCATCATCTGATGGCAGTTGCTAAAACAATAATACCTTTCATGATATCAATGCGTGAGAAGGTGTCAATATCTGAGTGACGCACAGGTATTCGAATTGCATCGGTCATCTCAGTTGAAAGAATTTTTATCTTTCTGAGTAATGTTTGATTTCACCATAGAAATGTATATTAAAAAGTATTACAGGTCCTATGGTGTAATGGTTAGCACTCTGGACTCTGAATCCAGCGATCCGAGTTCAAATCTCGGTAGGACCTGCGTTTATTTTGGTATGATATATCCCCGAGGTAAACATCGATATATACAAACTTGCGGCGCAGGAGGAATGCGACGTGCCCTCACGCCAATCTGTAATAAATCCTTCCTTAAAATCATCATCTGATGGCAGTTGCTAAAACAATAATACCATTCATGATAATAATGCGTGAGAAGGTGTCAATGTCTGAATGACGCACAGGTATTCGAAATTCATCGGTCATCTCACTTGAAAGGATTTTTATCTTTCTGAGTAATGTTTGTTTTCACCATAGAAATGTATATTGGCAGGAAGTCTTACAGGCCCTATGGTGTAATGGTTAGTACTCTGGACTTTAAATCCAGCGATCCGAGTTCAAATCTCGGTAGGACCTTCGTTTATTTTGGTATGATATATCGCCGAGATAAACATCGATATATACACACTTGCGGCGCAGGAGGAATGCGACGTGCCCTCACGCCAATCTGTAAAAAATCCTGCCTTAAAATCATCATCTGATGGCAGTTCCTAAAACAATAATACCATTCATGATATCAATGCGTGAGAATGTGTCAATGTCTGAGTGACGCACATGTATTCGAATTGCATCGTTCATCTCAGTTGAAAGGATTTTTATCTTTCTGAGTAATGTTTGTTGTCACCATAGAAATGTATATTGAAAAGTATTACAGGTCCTATGGTGTAATGGTTAGCACTCTGGACTCTGAATCCAGCGATCCGAGTTCAAATCTCGGTAGGACCTTCGTTTATTTTGGTATGATATATCGCCGAGATAAACATCGATATATACAAACTTTGCGGCGCAGGAGGAATGCGACGTGCCCTCACGCCAATCTGTAATAAATCCTTCCTTAAAATCATCATCTGATGGCAGTTGCTAAAACAATAATACCATTCATGATATTAATGCGTGAGAAGGTGTCAATGTCTGAATGACGCACAGGTATTCGAATTGCATCGGTCATCTCAGTTGAAAGGATTTTTATCTTTCTGAGTAATGTTTGTTTTCACCATAGAAATGTATATTGGAAGAAGTATTACAGTCCTATGGTGTAATGGTCAGCACTCTGGACTCGATCCAGGCGATCTGAGTTCAAATCTCTGTAGGACTTCGTTTATTTTGGTATGATATATCGCCGAGATAAATATCGATATATACACACTTGCGGCGCAGGAGGAATGCGACGTGCCCTCACGCCAATCTGTAATAAATCTTTCCTAAAAATCATCATCTGAGAGCAGTTGTTAAAACAATAATACCATTCATGATATCAATGCGTGAGATGGTGTCAATGTCTGAGTGACGCACATGTATTCGAAATGCATCGGTCATCTCAGTTGAAAGGATTTTTATCTTTCTGAGTAATGTTTGTTTTCACCATAGAAATGTATATTGGCAGGAAGTATTACAGGCCCTATGGTGTAATGGTTAGTACTCTGGACTTTAAATCCAGCGACCCGAGTTCAAATCTCGGTAGGATCTTCGGTTATTTTGGTATGATATATCGCCGAGATAAACATCGATATATACACACTTGCGGCGCAGGAGGAATGCGACGTGCCCTCACGCCAATCTGTAAAAAAATCCTGCCTTAAAATCATCATCTGATGGCAGTTCCTAAAACAATAATACCATTCATGATATCAATGCGTGAGAAGGTGTCAATGTCTGAGTGACGCACATGTATTCGAATTGCATCGTTCATCTCAGTTGAAAGGATTTTTATCTTTCTGAGTAATGTTTGTTTTCACCATAGAAATGTATATTGGAAGCAAGTATTACAGGTCCTATGGTGTAATGGTGAGCAATCTGGACTTTGAATCCAGCGATCTGAGTTCAAATCTCGGTAGTACCTTCGTTTATTTTGGTATGATATATCCCCGAGGTAAACATCGATATATATAAACTTGCGGCGCAGGAGGAATGCGACGTGCCCTCACGCCAATCTGTAATAAATCCTTCCTTAAAAATCATCATCTGATGGCAGTTGCTAAAACAGTAATACCTTTCATGATATCAATGCGTGAGACGGTGTCAATGTCTGAGTGACGCACAGGTATTCGAATTGCATCGGTCATCTCAGTTGAAAGGATTTTTATCTTTCTGAGTAATGTTTGTTTTCACCATAGAAATGTATATTGATAAGTATTACAGGTCCTATGGTGTATATACAAACTTGCGGCGCAGGAGGAATGCGACGTGCCCTCACGCCAATCTGTAATAAATCCTTCCTTAAAATCATCATCTGATGGCAGTTGCTAAAACAATAATACCATTCATGATATTAATGCGTGAGAAGGTGTCAATGTCTGAATGACACACAGGTATTCGAAATTCATCGGTCATCTCAGTTGAAAGGATTTTTATCTTTCTGAGTAATGTTTGTTTTCACCATAGAAATGTATATTGGCAGGAAGTATTACAGGCCCTATGGTGTAATGGTTAGTACTCTGGACTTTAAATCCAGCGATCCGAGTTCAAATCTCGGTAGGATTTTCGTTTATTGTGGTATGATATATCGCCGAGATAAACATCGATATATACAAACTTGCGGCGCAAGAGGAATGCGGACGTGCCCTCACGCCAATCTGTAAAAAATCCTTCCTTAAAATCATCATCTGAATGGCAGTTGCTAAAACAATAATACCATTCATGATATCAATGCGTGAGAAGGTGTCAATGTCTGAGTGACGCACATGTGATTCGAATTGCATCGTTCATCTCAGTTGAAAGGATTTTTATCTTTTTAAGTAATGTTTGTTTTCACCATAGAAATGTATATTGGAAGGAAGTATTACAGGTCCTATGGTGTAATGGTTAGCATTCTGAACTCTGAATCCAGCGATCCGAGTTCAAATCTCGGTAGGACCTTCGTTTATTTTGGTATAATATATCGCCGAGATAAACATCGATATATACAAACTTGCGGCGCAGGAGGAATGCGACGTGCTCTCACGCCAATCTGTAATAAATCCTTCCTTAAAATCATCATCTGATGGTAGTTCCTAAAACAATAATACCATTCATGTTATCAATGCGTGAGACGGTGTCAATGTCTGAGTGACGCACAGGTATTCGAATTGCATCCGTCATCTCAGTTGAAAGGAATTTTATCTTTCTGAGTAATGTTTGTTTTCACCATAGAAATGTATATTTTAAGGAAGTATTACAAGTCCTATGGTGTAATGGTCAGCACTCTGGACTTTAAAAACAGCGATCCGAGTTCAAATCTCTGTAGGACCTTCGTTTATTTTGGTATGATATATCGCCGAGATAAATATCGATATATACAAACTTGCGTCGCAGGAGGAATGCAACGTGCCCTCACGCCAATCTGTAATAAATCCTTCCTTAAAATCATCATCTGATGGCAGTTGCTAAAACAATAATACCATTCATGATATTAATGTGTGAGAAGGTGTCAATGTCTGAATGACGCACAGGTATTCGAAATTCATCGGTCATCTCAGTTGAAAGGATTTTTATCTTTCTGAGTAATGTTTGTTTTCACCATAGAAATGTATATTGGCAGGAAGTATTACAGGCCCTATGGTGTAATGGTTAGTACTCTGGTCTTTAAATCCAGCGATCCGAGTTCAAATCTCGGTAGGATCTTCGTTTATTTTGGTATGATATATCGCCGAGATAAACATCGATATATACAAACTTGCGGCGCAGGAGGAATGCGACGTGCCCTCACGCCAATCTGTAATAAATCCTTCCTTACAATCATCATCTGATGGCAGTTCCTAAAACAATAATACCATTCATGATATCAATGCGTGAGAAGGTGTCAATGTCTGAGTGACGCACAGGAATTCGAATTGCATCGGTCATCTCAGTTGAAAGGATTATTATCTTTCTGAGTAATGTTTGTTTTCACCATAGAAACGTATATTGGAAAGAAGTATTACAGGTCCTATGGTGTAATGGTTAGCACTCTGGACTTTGAATCCAGCGATCCGAGTTCAAATCTCGGTAGTACCTTCGTTTGTTTTGGTATGATATATCGCCGAGATAAACATCGATATATACACACTTGCGGCGCAGGAGGAATGCGACGTGCCCTCACGCCAATCTGTAATAAATCCTTCCGTAAAATCATCATCTGATCGCAGTTCCTAAAACAGTAATACCATTCATGATATCAATGCGTGAGAAGGTGTCAATGTCTGAGTGACGCACAGGTATTCGAATTGCATCGGTCATCTCAGTTGAAAGGATTTTTATCTTTCTGAGTAATGTTTGTTTTCATCATAGAAATGTATATTGGAAGGAAGTATTACAAGTCCTATGGTGTAATGATCAGCAATCTGGACTTTGAATCCAGCGATCCGAGGTCAAAACACTGTAGGACCTTCGTTTATTTTGGTATGATATATCGCCGAGATAAATATCGATATATACAAACTTGCGGCGCAGGAGGAATGCGACGTGCCCTCACGCCAATCTGTAATAAATCCTTCCTTAAAATCATCATCTGATGGCAGTTCCTAAAACAATAATACCATTCATGATATCAATGCGTGAGAAGGTGTCAATGTCTGAGTGACGCACAGGTATTCGAATTGCATCGGTCATCTCAGTTGAAAGGATTTTTATCTTTCTGAGTAATGTTTGTTTTCACCATAGAAATGTATATTGGCAGGAAGTATTACAGGCCCTATGGGGTAATGGTTAGTACTCTGGACTTCAAATCTAGCAATCCGAGTTCAAATCTGGGTAGGACCTTCGTTTATTTTGGTATGATATATCGCCGAGATAAACATCGATATATACAAACTTGCGGCGCAGGAGGAATGCGACGTGCCCTCACGCCAATCTGTAATAAATCCTTCCTTAAAATCATCATCTGATCGCAGTTCCTAAAACAGTAATACCATTCATGATATCAATGCGTGAGAAGGTGTCAATGTCAGAGTGACGCGCAGGTATTCGAATTGCATCGGTCATCTCAGTTGAAAGGATTTTTATCTTTCTGAGTAATGTTTGTTTTCACCATAGAAATGTATATTGGAAGGAAGTATTACAAGTCCTATGGTGTAATGGTCAGCACTCTGGACTTTGAATCCAGCGATCCGATTTCAAATCTCTGTAGGACCTTCGTTTATTTTGGTATGATATATCGCCGAGATAAATATCGATATATACAAACTTGCGGCGCAGGAGGAATGCGACGTGCCCTCACGCCAATCTGTAATAAATCCTTCCTTAAAATCATCATCTGATGGCAGTTGCTAAAACAATAATACCATTCATGATATTAATGCGTGAGAAGGTGTCAATGTCGGAATGACGCACAGGTATTCGAAATTCATCGGTCATCTCAGTTGAAAGGATTTGTATCTTTCTGAGTAATGTTTGTTTTCACC